CCAGTCTACTTTCTGAAGGTAAAAATCATGTTTTTTTTAATTTATAATTCAAATTTTGTTATATAATATAGAACCAATAAATATTCCAGAAGATCAAACTGAAACAAATAATGAAGAACATGTAAAATAAATTCAAGTTTCTTCTTTAAAAAATATTTTAATATGTTTATATTCAGGTTGAAGCAGTACATGATCTACAAGCTACATATAATTATCCAATAAAATGTTCATATCAAACAAATTCAAAAAGATATTCCGATACAAGAAATTCTATATCGATTTTAAAACAGGTGAGAAATTAAAACATAAATAAATTCATTGTTCTTAAAAAAAACAATTTAGCGTGAAAATGGGTTAATTAATTTTCGACGACATCCTCATGCTCGATATCGTTTAATGGATAGGTATGTATATTGTAAATTTTGTTGAGACTGTTTGTCTATTATATTTATTATTTTAGATTATTACCGAAAGAGGGCGAAGTAGTAGCATCAACAACAAGACCAACTTTTTGTGGACAATTTTCTGATGATGGACAATGTTTTATTAGCGCTTGTCAAGGTTTTTAGCAATTAGAATAATCCTATATATATATCAATATATTACTTTTTAGACAGTTGTATTCGTCTCTATGATACATCAACATCCCGAACATTTAATCGTCTTGCAGAAATTGAAGTTGATGATGTAGGTTGGTCAATATTAGATACAGCTCTATCACCTGATCGAACAAGTATTGCTTATTCAACATGGTCACATTGCAGTAAATTTTTGAATGAATTATAAAATGAAATTTTCTTTTCAATCTAGTTTATTTGGTAAAATCGAATGAAAATCAACATCAATCAAACATTACATCATTACATTTACAACCACAAACAGATCGTTTTGCCATATTTTCTTTACAATATTCTAATGATGGTTCAGAAATTATTTGTGGTTCAAATGATACATGTGTCTATATTTATGATCTAGAAAAACAAAAACGAACATTACGTGTAAATATATGAAAAGATTTAAAAATTTTCAATTATTCTTATTTTTTTATTTAAATAGGTTGAAGCTCATCAAAATGATGTTAATGCTGTTCGTTTTATTGATAATTCAAATTCATTGATTGTTAGTGGTTCTGATGATGGTCTTGTTTTAGTATGGGATAGACGAGCATTAAATGAATCACAACCAAAACCAGTTGGAATATTTGCCGGGCATACTAGTGGAATTACTTTTGTAGATAGTCGTGTATGAAAATATTTATTTGAATTTGTTTGTTTTTTAAATTCGTTTTCGTTGTTTTCAATAGATGGATACAAGATATTTAATATCCAATTGTAAAGATCAAAGTATTAAATTATGGGATATGCGTCGTTTTGCTAATGATTTAACAGTTCATAAAAGTCGTATTGCATCAAATGCTATTAACCGTGTTTGGGATTATCGAGTTGGAGCACAACCACAAACACGTAAAAA